TTTGTATTAGATAGATATAAGTTAGATTCTTTAAGAATGGATTCAAAGAAAGATGTCGATATAATATAATGTAGTGTAGACGAATATGCAATGCAATCGGTCCTGACCTGGCATTTCGACTCCAGTCACTTTCTCACGGACATGATGTGGCTTTCCTTTGTTTTTTATACAAATATTTTCATAGCAACTGCTCTGACGCGCTATTTTCACAGGTACCCCGTCTGCATGAATTTAAGCGTACTCCTAGTTTGGGATATGGGTCCCACCCTTTTACTGTCAAAACTGTTAAATCTAATCGCCACTTCTGCTCCAACAGCTTCTTTTATTGCACTTCCCGACAATGAAACTCCCTTTCTCTAACCTGATAAGTATAACCTTCAAAAATTTAAATGTAATGTCAATCGACATCTGATGCCTTGATACGCATTCATCTTTTTATTTTTCTTCAATTCCCGCTATACCCTTTTTTTTTTCTCTTACTTTCACTCTCTGTAACCTCTTGTGCATTAGTGGCCCACCTGCCTTGCTTGGGGTGAAATGCTTATATACATACATACATACATACATATATATATATATATATATATATATATATATATATATATATATATATATATATATATATCAGATCTAAAATATTACTAACAATAACGTTTTCTGCTACCACGGTTTCTACCAATGAAGGGCTCTTCAGGCAGTGAAAAGGTCAATTAATTTTCCATCACTCAATCTATAGACTTTTGGCGTTGGCGGGGAATTTAATGGGAGGAAACGAGTAAAGCAAAAAGCAGAGAAAGTATGTGAGAAGGGTGGAGAGAAAAAAAATATATATAAACAAATACACAATATATATATATATATATATATATATATATATATATATATATATATATATATATAAACAAATACACAATATATATATATATATATATATATATAAGCATATACATATATATAGATAGATATAGATATAGATATAAATATAGATATTTGATTATATAATTAAATATAAATAAATATGTAAATACGTAAATTAATAAAAATATAGATAAAAAATATATAAGTAAATGCATAAATAAAAAAATATATAATTGTTGCACTCTCATCTGGGTTCATATTGTTCTAGTAGATATTTTTCTTATGGTTACAAGCTGCCATTACTTCAGATCTTTCTTTTAACAAGTTGCCTTGCTCAGGATATAACATAATCGCCAACTATTCTTCCTGACATAATCTGTCGAGTGGAAGCTACCCGAATATTGGAAAAGGGTAACCTGCATCAGGATGATTCTTCCCGGGCGTCAAAATGCCGCAATTATGATAGCTGCTCAAGCTCTTTGAACCCCGTGAAAACAATAAAACGTGAAACAGAGAGTTGCAAGACTACGAAGCCGTGGCTTTTTAGGAATGAACACAGTAGACGTTCTGTTTGTCTTTGTACACCAGAATTCATTCAACAACTGTAGGAGAAAGTGATAGAAAACCCAAACAATAGAATACAAGTGTTGGCATGGGAAATGGGTGTTGCAGTTTAAATCATGAAGCTGGTTTTCAGTGAGGGCATCCGCTACCAGTAATACACGAAGTGTAAAGGTCAACTTCTTATAGAAAAGGCTGGAGAAAGCAGCATGAAAATGGCAATGAAACTCCTGAACAAGGTGAAATATCCTGCTGAACCAGGAACAATCTGGTTCTCTGATGAAAAGAATTTTTGTTAGGACCCAGAACAACAGATTGCTTGCCTACAATCCATATGATATTCCTCGTGTCCTGAAGTTCTCCCCAAACTGTAATGGTTTTTGGCTGTGTCTCCAGTGAAGGTGATGTCATGCTACCTCATATGTTTGAACAAGGTCTCAGGCTCAATTCGGATGGCTATGTAGAGTTGCTGAATACCGTGGTTAAGCATTGTTTGAAGAGGATGGATGCTGGAAGACCATATGTGTGGCAGCAAGACTCAGCTCTCTGTCATAACTCCAGGTAGAGTCAGTAGTGGTTGTTAGATAATTTTTGAGACTTCACCAACTCCAACATTTGTCCCCGCTAACTCCCCTGATTATAATCCCATGGTTTAATATACATCGAGCGCAGTTGAGAAAGGTACCATACGCGCTGTAATACCAAGGGGCCTAGCTGATCGACAGCATTAATGAGGTGTTTGAGGCTCTCCTTAGGGACACTGTAAAGGTTGCCATGTGCCAGATTCTAGAGTCGGATCAAGACCGTGATAAATGATGAGGGTGCCTTTGCCGAGTGAATTATCTTTTGATTATTATAACCTGTATGCCACTTTTCTATTTTTCTAATATATTTATATATTTATTATTTTTTCCGGAAAAAAACTGTCAAATTCCGAACACCATATATATCTTTATTTTGTTTTTTTTTTTTCTGTAATATATATATATATATATATATATATATATATATATATATATATATATAAAGCAAAGCAAAAAAAAATACTTATGCTCTGTTAAAATAAAAACATCGAGCTCTCTGTGGATCAGTTTTAATAATTATTATTACTAGGTTCCACCCGGATTATATGCGCATCTGTGTATATATGTATGCTTGTGTGTTTCTGTATATATATATATATATATATATATATATATATATATATATATATATATATATATATATATATATATGGTTTATTTACTTTTATGTTGCTGTGTGGGTTGATATATTTATGCTTGCTTCTGTATATGTATATATGCATATACGTATGCGTATATGTATGTGTGTGTATGTCTATATATGAGTATATATATATGTATATGTGTGTATACATGCATATATGTATATGTGTGTATATGTTTGTAGGTAGGCTTTTCTGTGTTTCTCTCTGCAGTGAAGAATGTGTGTACACATATGTCTGTATGTATTTTTTATTTTCTTTCACCTACTGTTATATTTTTGTACTCGTGTATGAGCACTAGTGCGTATATAGGTATATATGAAATATATTTTTATATATATTTGTGAGTTTGGAGTTTTATTTTTTATATATTAGATGGTGTTATTTTTATGCGTATATATCTATTTTTTATCCATGTTTATCTGTTTTAATGTCCTTTCTTTCCCTAATGTTTGTTTTTCTGTTTTGCCCATGTTGAATTTTATCTATTCTACCCTTTCTATCTATGTATATTTGCCCGTATAAATTATATTTAATAAGTGGTTAGAATTCGTTTAATAACACTTTCAAACTTAAATATTTCTTGGTAGGTGTATCGGCGTGTCTTTGTCAATTTATGTGTGCGTGTATGTACATGTCTTTATCGGTGTCTGTGTGTATGGTCACTTGTGTGTACCTTTCATTGTGTATGTATGTTTTTTTTTTCAAAGGGTCGTGGAAATATTTCCTACCTCGTCGCTTTTTTGTGCGTGTATATATCTAAATACGTCTACGTGTTTATATATTATAATTTGATTGTGTATGTATTGTTTTTTGCAAGATGTCATCCCCTGCCTCTGTTTATGCTTCAAATGTATCTATGTTATGAAGTTTAGAGCAACATTTGATCTTAACGTTTATTCCAACTTAATTTCAATAAAACAAAATAAATAGAATAACATATGTATTTTTCCTTTTTTCTTCAGTAATTTTATTATTTGAAACTTAATATACATTAAATTTAAATTTTAAAATGGGTAATTTTTAATTTCAAATTTTATCGTATATTTTAATATTTATTAGTTAGAATAAATTCTATTTTAGTCTAACCCCAACATTAAAGAATTGAATAATTATTATAACCTTAGTTCGTTGTCAAGTTTTTGATTTGATTGGTCATTCCAGCTTATGTAACAGCTTTTCCCTTAGCGAGGGGTGTTTGATTGATTTGACCCTTTTAAAACCCTTTATTCTATATTCAATACCATCACTTGATAAGACACCAGAAGTGTTGAAACAAAATGGCTATTTTTGTAGTGATCTTATAACATATTTATGTTATTATTTTCGAATAAATAATTATATATATATATATATATATATATATATATATATATATATATATATATATATATATATATATATGTTCTAGCGAGACAATGTTTACTAACCAATTAAACCACGTCGAAGTGACCTGAACAACCGCTTGTCTCACTAGATCAATTACAACTGAGTAGTGAGTTCGATCCTCTCTGGGTGCTCCATATTTTCGGCCTCGTGTCACATCTAAACTATGCTTAGTTAATTGGTATACATGCCGGTGTATAGATGCGCATGTATGTATACTTGCCCAAGTAAATAATCAGTAATTTTGAATATTACAACTCTAAATGTATCTAATGTATAATAATTTATATGATCGTTAGCAACATTTGTTTAATTCTATGAATAATGATCATATGAATAAAATATTTTTCGCTTGAAACGCAAGAAATAATTTTGTACTAACCTTATAATGTAAATTTCTGATCAATCATAAATTGCCAGTTCAAGTTGGCCGTTATACGCTCGGAATATGCAATTCATTTCAGAAGTGTCTTGCTCAGATTTTACATTTTCGTGTTATTTAAAAATATTTACGTAAGAAAGAAAGCATATATGTTTTATTTTGTGCAGTTGATACATCAATCCTCATACATACATATGATGGCTGCGATTTTGTGTAATGATCTTGAATTAATGTTCAAATATGAACAATGTGGATGTAGCTGTTTAGTCCTGTTAAAGACATAACCTACCTAACGAACTTGTGCAAATGGTCGGTATGACAGAGATTAGGAGATTAGGAGATATAGCTAAAAGACAAGCATTATTAAAAGCTACAAAGGGCAGGAAATTGTAGAGAGCCTGATCCATCACATTCTGAAGAGACAAGAAGAAGATGAGTGTACTGTTCAACAGTCTAGATTTCTTTCTTTCTTTCATTTACATAGACCATTAAGTTGCGAGTTTTCCACTAGGTATTTCACTAGTGTGCCTGTGTGGTATTGTGCCAGGCTAAACTCTGCTTATTATATATTTCTTTCTTTCTTTCTAGCTTTTTTATTCTTTCTTTTTCAACTTTTTTTCCTGTGAATTTCTTCTTTCTTTCTTTTTTTTATACATTCTCTTTCTTATTTTGCGGTTTTCACGTTTGCGTCTCAACTTTCTATTAATCTTTTCTTCCTTTTGCATTTTTTCTTCCTACTTACATTCATTCTTTCCATTTTTACACTTTCTTTCTTTCTTTCTTTCTTTTTTCTTTCTTTCTTTTTTTCTTTCTTCCTTTTATTCATTCATTCATTCTTTCTTTCTTTCTTTCTTTCTTTCTTTCTTTCTTTCTTTCTTTCTTTCTTATTGCCACTCTTCAGATTTCCATGATTTTTCCCCGTGTATTCCTCTCTTTTATTTTTCTTTATTTATTTTTGTTTTTCTATTTTCATTTTCAATTTTTTATTCAGTTTTCTCCTCTCTTTTTCTTGCTTCATCAGTTCAGCGTTCCATTTGTTGGTTCTTTTTTTCTTTCTTTCTTTCATTCTTTCTTTCTTTCTTTCATTTCCCTTCTTCTGCTTTAAATTTTTATTTGTTTTCTTTTTCTTTTCACTTCTGGGGTTTTTCATTTCTTTCTTAGATTTCAGTTTTCTTTTATTTCTCTTTCTTTATTTCTTTGTTCGTTTTTTGCTCTTCTTCACCTTTTCATTTCTTTCTTTTCTCTTTCTTCAGTTGTTCATCTTTTCTTTGTCCTTCTTCAGATTTTCATTTTAGTTTCTTTCCCATTTCTTTTGTCTTTTGAGATTTCTTTCTTCTTTTGGTTCCAGATTTGTTTCTTTCTTTATTCGTTCTTTTCTCTTCTTCACCTTTTCATCTACTGTTTTCTTTTTTCTTTCTTTCTTTTTTCTTTCTTTCTTTCCTTCTTTCTTTCTTTCTTTCTTTCTTTCTTCAGTTGTTCATTCTTTCTTTGCCTTTCTTCTGATTTTCATCTTTTTCTTTCCCATTTCTTTTCTCTTCTGAGATACTTTTCTTTCTTTCTCTTTTTGGTTCCAGATTTCTTTATTCATTCTTTTCTTTTCTTCACCTTTTCATTTCATTCTTTCTTTCTTTCTTTCTTTCTTTCTTTCTTTCTTTCTTTAGTTGTTCATTTTTCTTTGCCTTTCTTCTGATTTTCATTTTTGTTTCTTTCCCTTTTCTCATATTTTTCATTTCTTTCTTTTTTCAGTTTTAGTTTACTTCCTTTCTTTTCCTTATTTCTTTCTCTCTCCAATTATCGTATTCAAATTTTCACTTTGCACTTCTCTTCAGACCAACTTATGTTTATGCTATCTGCGTGGATGTGATTACAAGTTCAATGGACGTGTATATCCCAAGTGCTTCACGATAACCGCGCACGTGCGTTTATCTTATGCGATCGTGTGTGTGTGTGTGTGTGTGTGTGTGTGTGTGTGCGTGTGTGAGTGTGTACTAGAGATTTTATCTGTATGTGAGTGCCTTTGTGCACAAGAAACGAGTGCTGTGTGTCATGTTTGCATACTGTGTAAGAGATCGTAGTTGATATGGTCATGTATTTTACTCCGTTCTTTTTAAACGTGCCACTTTACAAACAAAACAACAACAACAAAAAAAAAGAAAGAAAATAAATGAAGATGCATTCTGGATTTCGAGTAAAAAAAAAAGAAGAAAAAAATCATATAAAACAAAAATAAGATAAATAAAAGATGCAGTTCTCTCTTCATCCCCTTGTAGACAGCTTCCACTAAAACGTAACCGTAAAAACAGTCTCTCTCCCAATACCAGTCGCCACCAAACGCCACCTGCAGACAGCTGAGTGATATCATTGTTACACTCTATCCTAACCTTAACCTTACCACTCAGCATTCAGCTTTTTTCCCGTTTTTGCTTCTCTTTCTTATTCCTTCTATTTGTATTAAGATAACAATCCTTGTTGTTACTGGCGGCTTGCCGGAAGGGATGGAGTGCAGGTAAAGCCAACGGCACTAACGCCGTCGATTTGTTCATGTAAGGAAGTTGTTAACGCTAACACGATTGTTTTAATTTCAGGTATATTCTACTGAAAAAGATAATATCGTACGTCTATTTCAGAACGAGGCTCACGCTACCGAAAATCTGTAAAATTCATATATATATATATATATATATATATATATATATATATATATATATATATATATATATATATATGACTAATGTTCACCCAATACATGGCCCAAGGGCCACTCAAAGTGGGGGGTTGCTGTGTAGAATTATATTAGCCTAAGAAAGAGTAAGATAGCAGGAAAGATAGACGGCTAATTCAAGACTAGAAGAGGTCAAGATTTAATTAGCGAATAAAATTTCAGAGTTCAAATGAACTATAGAGTTGAAGGAGACTTTAGAAAGTACTGGAAATCAAATCCTAAACAGGAAATAAGGGATCAGCCTCTACTCCTGTTCAAAAGACCGGGGAGTTATATGAGCAGGACGATAGGTAAACATATTTACCCCTCTTGGGAGAGGAAAAAAATAACAATTATTGAATAAAATTTCAGATTTCAGGCGGAAATCAGAAGAACAAAGTTGAAGGAACCGGAAACCCAATCTTAAACAGGAAGCTAGGGACAAACCTCTATTCCTGTTCAAAAAATTGGAGAGACGGGCCTTACTTGATTCTATTTTTAAACCTACATTTTTTTTATTTCTCTAAACGTTATTTTTATATACACACGTATTTAAATAGAACTATTTAAACACACACACAGACCTATCAACCTCTTTACACAACATATGGAACATGCAAAACCTAATAGACTCAGCCATAAGAAAAAAAAAAAAAAAGTTAAAAATAATGACAGCGTTAATATTAAAAAAAAAATGTCAACTCTTAACTCTGAACCCAGACACAACGTGCTGTATTCGAAATAAACAGCAACAATACCATCGTCTCTCTCTCTCTCTCTCTCTCTCTCTCTATATATATATATATATATATATATATATATATATATATATATATATATATATATATATATATATATAAAGTCTACTTATTCCGTTAAAAAAAAAAAGAAGACCACCATGGATAATGACGAATAGATTAGCGAAAGCTCTCGGAACCATATATAATTTGGTCAGTTTTATACACTTATAAATCCAGAAAAGGAAATGCCTGTATGGATGTAAGAAAAACTAAATAAAAAAAAAAAAAATCGCAATGCCTTTGGCAGTTGTTTTTCAATGAGACCTGTATAAAAGAGGCAAATACACAATATATATATATATATATATATATATATATATATATATATATATATATATATATATATATATATATATATAAAGAAACAGTAATAAATATAATCCGGTGTTCTTATTGATATTTTTTATTTTCACAAAACAGTGCTCAATGTAAATTTACAGAGCATAAATATTTAAAGTTTAAAACTCAGTAAATTTAAAAAATAACTTATTCCAAAATTCGCTTGAAGATGAAACGGAACTAATTCTTTTAATTTAATTATATAATTAAATTTGAAGTTTTTAGCTTCAGTTTTTGAAACATGGTTATTACTGTATAGCCAAAGAACCATATTTTAAATCAGTTAATACATATATATATATATATATATATACACACACACACACACACACATATATATATATATATATATATATATATATATATATATGATGGCAACTGGTCTACTGCATAAAGAAATGACAACTTACGGCTGGAATAAAATCTGCCTCTTCAGTCATTTATCGAAAGATACATGATCGCCTAAGCGTGTATCACGTATAGCACATAACTGACTGATATATTACTTCCAACGTTATTTTTAGTGTATATCTGTTTTTAGAGATTTGCTTTTATTTTTAATTTTTTTTTTTATTTATAGTGTATTTATTTCGTTTACCGGCCTACACACGACAGAAAACTACGGTAGACGAAAAGAAATACTGTTTAAAATAAAACGGATCATCTACTCAAAAACGGATATCCACTAAAAATAAACTTTGAAGGAATAAAAATGTCAGATTAAAAAATAATATCTATTACACACACACACACACACACACACACACACACACACACACATATATATATATATATATATATATATATATATATATATATATATATTATTTTTTAAAAATATTTTTTTCCTTCTTCGCTACATAAGAGTTCACATGTTTCAAAAAAACGAGAGCCGAAACCATCAATGTAATTATTAAAATTAAATTGAATTAAGGTAACAAGTCCTATTTCATCCTCAAGCGATGGTTTCGGCTCTCGTTTTTGAAACATAAGAACTCTTATGTAGCGAAAGAATCATATTTTTAAAAAAATAATTATAATCTAAGCTCTACTTCTGTATCGAGTACTGTTTTTTAAAAATAAAAACAAAAATACTAAAGAACCCTGGACTACTTACCTATCGTGTTCTTTCCTATTTTTCTACATACCCCCCCCACACACATGTATGTATGTATATATATAGAGAGAGAGTCATAGATAGATATATAGTCATAGAGAAAGTCAGAGATAGATAGATTGTTTAAAATTCACTATATTTATACTTCCTCTATGTTCCGTGTTCCTTTATGACCTGGACGACGTAGCTCTCCACAATTTCCTATCCTTTGTAACTCTAAGTAACGTTTGCCTTTTTACTACCCCCCACTCTCCTTCCTGATATTCATTCACATAAGCTAATGAAGTAGATCGCCCGCTGCTTCTTGCTCCTTTTGTCTTCGACATATCCTGTGAGTGTCGAATTCTCCAAGCCCTCTTTCCTTATTATGTGTCGCAAAGATTTCAGCTGTCTCTTTCTGATTTCGATTATTTTTTTGGCGGGGGGGGATTTTCTTTAAAACTTTCTCGTTGCTTACACGCTCCTGTCATTGTATTCTCAGCATCCTTCTGTAGAAGTACATTTCTGTTGCTTCAAGTTTCTTATTCATCAGTGATGAAATTTTCCAGCATTCATGCATATCGGAAAATTGATATTACATAACAGTTCAACATTCTTTTCTTTTTTTCTAATGAAATTTTCCTGTTTTTTCATACTTTGCTTAGTTTTTGGAAAGCAGTTTTGCTATTCCAAGGTGTTTCAGATTTCCGTGTCACATTTCCATCCCCTGTTAAAACACTATTTAAACAGAAGTTTCAACTTCTCTACCTGTTGGATTCAGACATATATTCATATTTCCCATCTTGAGCATTTTCGTTTGCATTTATATAGGGAATTTCTAAGCGTAGCTTAGACGTGGCACAAAGATGTAGCTTGCATTTACATGCATTTAATCCTATAGGCTATTTGATGAAATAGTAATTGGGAATTCAATTTCTGTGCCGGATAGTACAGCTTTAGACATAGTGGAAACAGGGCGAGCAATAAGTGAGGCGTACTAAAAAGCGAACAGTCCGACATATCCATAGACATAGAAAATGGAAAGAGAACAATTTGTTAATAAATAAAGGGTTCCCTTTGAAATTCCTTGAAAGTTACCCAAGCATCGACAAGCACCTGAAGGGGTCAGAGGGAGGACAACGCCCGAAACGTTGTGATAAGAGCAACAACTTTAAGGACAGATTTTAAATAATACAAATAATAACCGTAATTATTATTTCATTGTTTCATCTTTATATTTTTCAATGGTATCTATGATTCATTGATTACTCCTGGTTTATATAAATCGCTTTCTGCTCAATATATTTTCATGTTAAAATTGTATCCGTTTAATATATCAGAAGAAAAAGATTAGCAACAGGACAACAAAGACTGCGGCGTCAAGGCCTATTTCAAGACCAAACTAGAGCAAGATGATCATTTAATAGACAAAGGCGTCTGAGTGCCTCACATGAAAGACTTGAACAAATAAGATTGCAATCTACGTAGCGTAGGTGCAAAGGAACTGAATAATTAAACGGTTCATTTTGCTCAGGAACTAATTTTGTCTAAATGCAGATACGTATTTACTAACTTTAGTTGGGACAGGAAATATAAATATACAGGAAATATATGAGTAGATACTAATTATTAATTGTTGTATGGATTGATTATTATTAGTAGTACTAGTAGTTGTCGAAGTAGTAATAGTATTCTGCTTTCTACTTATCACAGTCACTCTCTGAGTCATTACCTGAGATCTAGGTTAAGACAAG